AAAAAAAAATAATCAATTGTAAAGAATTTGTTTTTTCTTGAAACCCAGTGCTTTACTTTGTTTACTTACTCTACATTTCATGACCCAGTGACATCACAGTTAGGAGTGGTTCAAGGATTTTAAACACCAGCCAACAGATCAGTTGTGTAATAATGGTTGTTTAAACAACAGTGTTAAGAGAGTCATGTTGGGGAATGAGGAATGACTGCTCTTAATTATAATAAAATAGCTCAACTTTATTTATGAAATTCTACTACTGTAATGAAAACTCATCTATTTTTGTGCTAAAGCACATACGATATAAAATCCAGACTAAGGGGTGAAAATACTTATCCCTCACCTGTGCTGGTATCAGAGCCCGGATCAGTAGGGGACTTGTGAACCACAGATCGAGTTCCAAAAAAGCTCCACCTTTCCACACCTCCTCCTCCACCTCCACCCTCATTTCCTCCCATGTTTGTGCTGGGGCTGAGTTTGTTAGGCTCTGGAGGGGCAAGAAAAGGTGCTGGACTCAGCTGCAACCAGTTCCTACACCAGAAAAGAACAAAAATGCGGAATTCAAGCCAAACAGCCAATACTCTTTATACTTTTTAATTTGATGGAAGTCATTTTACCCTTTATAAATATATGAATGCAATATTTTGTTGTGAAATGGGGAATATGAGCTCAGAATTGCAGAGGGGAAATGCTCACCTGCGACTGACAGCTGGGGATGAGATAGGACTGACACAGGGGGTGACACTGGGGGTGACCGAAGGGGTGCCACTTGGGGTGGATTGTGCTGATGACGTAACCCTGTCCTCCTTAAAGTCCCCGCTTGGCATTCTCAACTTCTGCTTAAACAATGACAAAAAATGCTTCAATAAACACATAGATGTCCACCACTGGTTAAAAATCAATAAGTGAAGTTATATTACACATGAACAAAGTTTGAGCAGTTTTTTTACAAACTTGTAAGAGGCAAAACACTGATCTTATTTACAGAGCAAACATTCTTGCGTACACAATACAAAAGGTCGACAGTGTTTAACCTGCCCCGCTGATAAAACACAATAATAACAGAGTGCGTCACAGATGATCTGTTCCTGCCACCTGTTACTGTGCCATGTGGGAAGCCACGGGGGGAAGAACAGGAGAGGACATTTCACAATGAATGACATTGTAGCCAAAGATCAGAAATACATTTTGATGTAAAACTGCTTTCATATAAAACAGGACCCCTTCCTGCAAAATAAAAGAAAATGAAGGAAATAAAATAAAGGAAAAAAAAAAAATCACTCCTTTCTCTTGTTAGAAATAATGAAAATAAAAATGCTAAAAGGAAACTATTCAACCATACTTGCCTCAAAATTAGGGTTTATTTCAGAGAAGATTTCAGGAAAATAATTTGCAAAGTTCAGTTTCCATTCAATGCAGGTATATTCCCATCCAAAAATGATATCAGACTTGGAAGAAACACCTTGCCTTCTGCTCAGGGCCATTGTGCAAATGAAGTGCAGAGAGCATCTCCATGGCCTTTTTATCTTCAATGTATTATGTAGGTTAGTAACCTGTTAGATTTCATCACTGTGCCACCCCTGCTGGACCTCGGCTTTAATGATCAAAACAGGACACAGCAACTCCCTGGCACCTGAAGTTAAAGTGCAACCAGACAGTTGTCAGACCTTTCCAAATTCTCCGCCTATATTATAGTTTCAGCTCTCTTCGGCCACCCCAACAACAACAAGAAGACAAAATGTATTAAAGCTTTTGGGTCGATGCGCATTATTCTTCTATTTATGGTCCTGGAGTCAACTTGTAGCCAACTTGACTCAAGATGGATATTGAGTAAGGGTCCCACCTGTCTAAATTTTATGATTCATAATGTACAATGCAAGCCTAAGGTTGAGATAAATGTCTACAGACCTGTAAGACTGCTTGTGTTAACTTGCAAATGTGCAAAAGGATACAAAATACATTGTGGCAGCACAGGCTTTGCCAACAACACACCAAGTTCCATCTTTCTTTGATGGAAACCACTTGAGACTACCAACAGTATTGATTGCCGACCCAAATTGGCAAAAAGGTTTGATGATTATGAATACTGGAACGCTTTACCAAAAGGTAGTAGTACATGCAACATGACACATAATCATAAGTGTCTAAATACAATCAAAATAATCTATAACGGAGCACAACAGGGTGCCCAAGTTAATCTGCTTAATATCAGAATCATGGTTTACTCTCCACTTCTGAATTTAAGAATCACAGTAGGGAAAATACTTCCAACATTATGGGCTGTCAGTAGTTAATATTGTCAGGTGGCATTAATAATAATTAAATTCTACAGGGGAAAAGACTTTAAAAAGCACATCAAACAAGGAAGGGGAATACACGTATAACAATATATAGTTCCATAATAATGGACACAACACCTCACTTAATATGAGTTTACGTTCAAAAGAAGGTCATTTGCCCCCATGAAACTATGCAGTAGGACCTGGAGCTAGAAAAGATTACAGAAAAACAATCCTCGTCCCTAAACATTCATGTGATAACCTCTAATCGATGTTGCCCTCTGTGGATTTCATACACGTTAAGCAACATCACCATAAAATGCTAGCTGGAAGCTAGCCGCCTCTATGCTAATAGCGGCTACGTAGCTACACCAACAGCGACACGCTGTCACAATGAACCAAATAAATCATTAACCAATGCTACTTTTGCATAAATAAGGAGAAATGTATTCTATACTACGAAGTCAATCTATAGCTTGATTGTAGTTTCACGTGTATTTATAAATTCCCGTAAACATCACGATCTTTTCGTATTAGCTACAAATTTAGCACTGACAGCTGGCTGGCAAACAAGCTATACTAACGGCCTTCCATCGCCAGAACGTACTACTCACTCCTTTTTCCCTACCAAAGACAGCAGCATATTGACAAACCTTTTAATAATACGTCTTCTCAGGCGTCGCAGCTCGATAGATTCCTTCATTTTGACCATATTTTTTGTTTCAGTGATGTTTATTCCTCGAAAACAAAGCGCCGTCTGTGTGCACCGCGGTGGGCCCTATTTTGCCAGGAGCTCGTCGGCGGTCCGTTAAAGAAATGAGGAGGTTCCTGTAACACCGTTGCTTGGCAACAGCCTTCATGGGACAATGCACAAAACGAGTTACGTAATTTGTTTACCAAGTTGTTGCTTCGTGGTTTAACAGTTGAATTTTGTCAGATATATTTGAAGGAAACTTAGTAGTTTAAAAAAAAAGCTAAAAATTCATAAACAAAAAAATAAATAAATGCTCAAGATAAGTCCTTCAGAAAATTAATGTATGCAAATATCCTGTTTGTTTAGAGTCATTCTTAATACTAAATTATTTGTATTGTCCAAAGATCATAAACTTGTCCTAGAAAATGTGACACAGATGTGACTTGTTTATCCGCCATAGTAAAACTTTGGTTAAATATGTATAATTTTTGTTCATTTTGTGTGGCAAATAAATATAAGTAACCTTTTAAAGAAATACACCTTTTGTCAAACCTGATTAAAAAATGTATACCTACTTTACTACCTACTTTGGCCACCTACGGATGCATGTTTCACCCCCAGCATATTTTTGGGTTTCAAGGCTTTGCCTGCTACAATTCATACAGGAAATCATTTCTAAAAGCCGCAATACCTGGAAGATTCAGAACAGATACCATCACCAATTTTACTTATAAAGTGCCTGTGTGTGTGTTCAACTTGCAAAAACGTGAGGATGATATGGTTGACTAGTAAAACATGAGCATGGGGTCAGAACAAAGCAGGCATGAAAACTGGACAAATCTAGGGTTACTCAAATACAACCTTTGTCCATAGACCTTCTAACATGTGTTAGTGCCCGTTGTTCTCCACTGTGACCTTCTAGAAAGGATTTACCAACTTTAGATGTGGAAAAAATAAAGTGTCAAGATAAGACACTAAATAATGTTCTCTTGTACAAGTCACAAAAAGTCTGTAATGCAATGTCCAATTTATGTCTGCCCTCTCTTTTAAGCCCAATATGCAAATAACAATGTCGGACATGGCCCACAAATGATAGTCTTAGAGTGTACTGTGAGAGAGGTTTAAAAATGGCTGCTATCATGAAAATGTAGGTTGAAAATCTTGCACTGAATCTGCTGCTAACGAAATAAAATACTAATATATCCTTTTTTGGGGGAAAGAGCCATCATAGGGTTTCAATATGAAGTTATTGCTGCAGGCAGAAAGGACCTCTCGCATCTCTGCTTGGTACAGCAACGCAAAAAAGGCCTCATAATAATATTATGTTGTTTTAACAACATAAAGAAGGGGATGGACAGTATTCTGTATGTTCATTAACTATAGTCTATGTTGTGCTACGACATGGGTTGGTGTTCTGACTGACCCACCAGCCAATAATAACAGGAAAGTGACATGCTGTTTAATTTTGATTAGCGAGACACAGAAATAAACATCAGTGAGTGTAATTTTGAATTTTTTCTATTACTGAAACAGTTTGTAGCAGTGGTCATTCAAATCTGTCAGAAACAGTCTTTTATGACTCAGCAGATCTCATTATCCAAACACAATGTACTTGCATAGGGTCATCCCTGTCACGCAGTATACACACATTATATAGTTGCCTTTAATGATAGATATGAATAAGTGAAGTTTACTAACTGTACACAAAGTCCAGATTCATATCTTTTGTAATCATATTAACATTTTTCATTTCTGTGCCTATGGAAAAAACCTGGCACAGCCTCTTTTTTATCTTTGGTAGACTTTGGTACTCACTGGAAGTGTGGCATCAACTCGTCTGTGAGATCGGGTCTCCTCTGCAGACAGGCCTTTGTGCGGTGAATAAACATCATCTGCAAGCCCTGCCTGGTGCTCAAACCTATGGAGATTCTCCTGACTTTGCTCTGAAATGGACAATAAAGCAAACACGAAACATTGATATCGAAATGAATTAATCTGTGATGAATATTGTCTTTGTAACTTTTATGATTGACAATGAAAATGTGTGTTCTTACCGTAAATAGGTAACTTACTTATCATAATTGAGCTCATTAAAGAAGTGGCTTTGGCTTTCACCACTGGAACTGGGGACCTGGGTGCTGCTGCTACATCAGGAGTCAGTGCCTTCCCACCCTTCTCACTTTCCTGGTCACACAGGTTTATGGTGTTAAGATTGACTTACAAAAGTAGTCACACAACACAGAGACTGAGCGTGTAAATACTCACAACAAAAGATTTAGCTGAACACAAGCCCGTACAAAGAACCATTTTGTTCAGGCAAGCAGTTCAAAACAAGGTGAAAATGGAGAGTGAAAATGGAGAGTGAAAACAAACTGGGAAGCACCTCTACAATGTGCCTGAACCTGTGGTGTGGGATGACAGGGTCTTTCCACAAGATGTTGACGTTCATGTCTGGAGGGGGGGAATGCATGGGGAGATCCATGTGCTCATCATAACTGATGTTGTGCCGAGTCAGCCCAATAGGAGACGAGAAGGCTCCGCAAAGTAGAGACGACATGCCGGACTCGAGTGCTGAACAATTGGAGGAAGGAAAAGTCAAGTTACAGATAATTTGGGTTAACTGACAAAGACTTCCTCTCTTGTTTCATATAATGAATGTGCCACATCATTACCGGGAAGGTCTCCCCGCTCCGAAGTCATTTTTGTGTCAGATCAGGGGTCTGACTTTAGGAAATGGGAGCCTCAGCTTACAGACTGACCTGGAGAACAATATGTAGAGAAAGAAGACATAATCCATCCATTATTTGTCTGTAGCCTACCACTTATTCCTTTGGCCACAGAGCACAGAGATTAACAACCACACACCTGAGGGCATGTTTAAAGTAACCAATCAACCCTAAATATTGGAGTGTGGGAGGAAGCTGGGGTAGAACATGCAAACTCCACACAGAAAGGCCCCCATTCCCTGGGGAATCAAACCAGGAACCCTTTTGATTTTAGGTGATGGTGCTAACCACTGCATCTGTGCCACCTTTAGGATCATAAAGTAATTTTTCTTGTGCTCATAGTTATGTAAGAGCTAGTCCACATCAGGCCTGTATTTTCAGTGCATGGTGTCTTGTTTCTGACTGGCTCCAAATAGAAGCGCAGAGTCTGGTTACTGCAAAGCAGAGTCATTAAGACGAGTTCAAATCACAGTCACCCTTACATCAGTCTCTCAGAGATTCTTCGAGGGGCAAAAAACAAATTGAAGTTCGGTTTGGCAAAGATCGTTGTGCTCTGTTTCTAGTTCACCACTGAATATATTATTTAGAAAGGGGCGTTTTCATATCTTATTTCTGGCTGTACTCATCGTCAGGACTCCAAATGAGCCTTCCCTGGTTCACTTTAAATAAATAAAAATCAATTCCTTCCTCAGATTAAGGCAGATTTTCGGTTTTTTTCCAAAGAATTCTGTCAGTGGAAGCCTGTTTTGCATCCTGCTACTTTGTAGACAGCTGACTGGTGTTTACGTCAGCCCTGAGGAAGGCCTGTTACTGTGATTTGCAAAAAAACAGACCTGAGTCACGCCACGGAGTGTTAGGACTCACATCCATGTAATAGGGTAATAACGTCGGAATTATATTTGTATAATATGATAACCACTTGTCAAACTGTTATATTTCCCATAGACGCAGGACAGGAGTCAAGGGACACGATTTCAATTGCATTTGTTAATTCCCCTTTCAACTTTTTTCCCAGTGCCAACCCTCCGCACGTGCCGCCCTGCTGCATTTGGCCGGTTTGGATCTGCTGCGTTTGCACGAAGGACAAAAGCTCATCGGCCGTGCCATGCACGAAATCACTCACCTCCAATGTCAATATTTCCTCTCCGCCTCAGTTAGGACGAGCCCGCGTTCGCAGAGACTTCTTTGCTAGTGGCGCGACGATCCGACTGCCAGCACGAACGCGCACCCCGTGTTTGCTCACCGGCGAGTCCATCCATGACTTTTGGACGTGCAAACACAGCAAGACACACGCCACGCAACGCTCCTGACCGCACCTCTCCCCGCAGCCCCTGCCGGCGGAAGTGACTGTCTGAAACTTGAAGCCCCGGAGAGGAGTGTTTGGGAGTGGTGGCGCAGCGTAAAGGGCGCAGCGTTCGCGCATTCGCCGCATGTGTCGCTGTCAGATTTCGACATTATTGTTGCAAGAATACAAGGCCGATGGGGGTTTAGACGTGATATTTGCTCGGGATTATTATTTTCACGGCGCCTGTGGCCTGGAAAGATGATGACGAGGAGGAGGGTGGCTGGTGAAACTGAGAGGGGGTCTGATCGACAGACCCCCTCGCACGTCATGAATAACTTTGTGCGCCGTGTGAGAAGCAAAACAACAACGATCGCACAAGTCCTGCTTGTACTTACTGAAACGCTGGTCCTTAAAATCTTGAGCAGAGGGTAACCGGTGGCTTTTGTCCACGTCCGATGAGATAGTTCGCAGTTGCTTTTTATAAGCTGCTGTGGGACGAGTCGTTCAGGTCAAATGTGTGTCGCTGACCCACCCAACCGTGACGTGTCATTTAGGTCATTGTCAATTGTGCTTTGTTGACCTCTCTGACCGACACATCGGAAATACACAAAGTTGAGGGGTTCGACATTTAGTACCTGAGCTATTCCAAGTTGTATTTCTTGATTATTGAATTCCCATATGATACCATATGTGTCCCCAGGCTAAAATGCTCAGGCCTTTAGTAATCAAAGCCTGTTGGATTTTCAAACTGTGTGGATGACTGTGCTGTGTAGTGCCATGTTCCAGGAAGTTGGCAGTGAAATTCACAAGACTCCACTGTGGGTCTCTATGAGTTTGAAGTTGTTTCTTCATGGTCACAGAGCAGACGTTTCTCGGTTTGTGTTTACGTTTGTGTCCACAGTGGTTACCGCAAACCTGACCAGTTCAGTGGACCACCGTCTTCTCCTGTTATGGGTGCAGAATAACCTATTAGGAAAACTGCATCTGTTTCTGTGAGGTTACACACAAATTCTTAAATAAGTTTAAGACATGTATATATGGAGAATGCATTGTTTATGTTACTGCAGTGTAATTTGCCCATTTTGTGTAATGAACCTGAATTTGGACCTCAGCATAGAGTTTCATGCATATACTGTAGGATCAACTACTGAACTTGAAAGGATTTTTCATCCCACATGAATTAATAGGCAAGTTTAAAAAATAATATTTATTCAAATATTTGTTTTTTCTATATAAAATTACATTATTTATCATCAGTTGACAAATAAAATCCACCACACATGATATGAAAAGAGCTTGGCTCCAAGATTTTGGCACTGGGTTGCTAATGAACATCTTTGTCCATGTTTTCTCTTTTCCCCTAGAATCAAACTCTACCGCGCTCTGTTTCTCGATAACCAGCGTACCTACACAGACATTGTTTTGATGTTCTTTTAATGCTTATTTTGTCAGATGGCTCTTGCAGTCTGCAGATATCTTTAACCGGCCACTGAAGCTGAAATAGAATACAAACTCAAGTGAGTATTGGGGTTGGGGGTTTCATTTTGGTGGTTAACGGTTGTAATCAGGAGCCATGGAACTGTGTCAATACTGTGTACAGAAATTCATTGTGTGTTTATGGGGGGCGTTAAAGGACAACAGCCTATGAGACTCGACAGAGCTGAGCCGCCCCCGTCAGACCTGAGCGGGGACACTCATTATTGACCCGTTCACATCAGTATGTGCGCTTTGGTGTCAGTCATGCCAAGATGCCAAAGTCTAAATTACTAGACTACAGCTTCTTCCGATATCTAATACCCAGAATTCTAAAATGTCTCAGGCCATGGAATATGAAAAGCTAGATCACTTTCTATGTATTTTGCATTAGCAGTCTTAATCCACAGGGGAGCACTGTTGGTACAGGAAACTAACAGTGTTGGGTTTGGAAAATGAAACCAAAAAATCTCAGCTTCTTGCTTTAATATTTTTTTATTACAAAATAATCGAAGTAGCAAAACATACTGAAACCATACATTATAAAAGTACATCTACCAAACAAAATAAAATAAAATAACGGAATAACGTGACAGATTTATTGACTAACAGGACAAGGTCTGTGCTTGTGCCCTCATAAATTCTTAACTAGATAGATGTACCCAATACCAAAGGTTTTTGGATTAATTCTATGCTTTGATAGTCTTTTGTATCTATATCTATATTTATATCTATATCTATATATCCTATCTATACATATATATATAGATATATATACATACAATATAAATTGTTTAACAAGCTTAAAATCCTACGTGGAATCATGCAAGGTGCTTTAGTTGAAGGGTAAGAGGTCAGACAGGGTTCCGATGAGACTCAGAGACGAACTGTTATGGTGCTGCCATCAGTGGAAGTGGAATGAGCAGGCACTGAAGTGGAAGTTCTGGGCATCTTCCTAAAGTGTCCAAAAAAAAAGCAAATGAGGCAGTCATGAGACAAGGATTCATAAAATGACATATGTAGAAATGTAGTGGTCACCGTATTGAAGAATGTTCTCAGATTCATACTTACATTATTTCAGTCACAATCTTTTTCACAGCCCTCAATTCAGGGTTAAGGCAATAACGAAGACCATTTTTGTTGGTAATGCTGTTTAAAAAAAGAGAGAGAGATGTTATAAAACAGAGGTCATAGACCAATTACTGGGACATGGTGATAATCAGAGACTGGGTATTTCTACTCCTGTGATTTAACCATAAAAACGGACACTTTAGAGTGTAATAAACTTCTCATTAACACGTGGTTCCAGTTGAGTCAAACACCAGCAAAATGTTGGTCTTCCAAATTAATTTTTTTTTGTTCCCATCTATATCTACAAATATATTCATATACACATACATTTATAACTTACACAATCTCCACTTTGTTACAGAAAATGGTTGCCTGGTAGATCTGGACGTCCTTTACTTCAGTCCTTGAAATGATACGATTCCTGACACGTTGACAGAGACACTGCTGTCTCGCTTCGTTGGCTAGAAAAAGAAGACATGGTTCAAAAGACTTACTTAATATATTCTCTATATTTGTTGTAAAAACATAAAGTTTCAGTGCAAAATTCTAATTAGTTCATTAAAGAAAAAAGATGAAAGTCTTACGTTGTGCTGTAGAGACGCAGACCATGACAGCCAGGAGCAGAAACAGCTTCATGATGCCGGACATGTTAGTTTTCCCTTCAGTCAAGATGGAGCTGGTCACTGGAAAAGCAAAGTGAGGATGACAATGCTGCACGAAGAGTCAGCTGAGTGGAGGCAGGTTAGGTGAGCAGTGTGAGTTGTAGAGCCCGAGTCCTGCCTAATATACACGCTCAAGTTGCATACATCATCAATTTTTTTTACTGGGGAAATTTTGAAAGTGGAAAGTGAAACTCCAAAACCACAAGTTGGAAAAAAAAACCCTCACTAATCCCACTTATCACATCCGGTCATGTGTTGCATTACAATTTGAATACAAATGATATACTGTCCAGGAAAATAGTATAAATCTTAATATTTTAATATGAAACATTTTAATCAAATTAATTAATATATTTGTTTGACTTTTGGTTCCATTTTCTTGTTTTACAGAAACAAATATGAAGACAATAAATGAAATGATATCAAATACAGACTAGAAAGTAACATTTGTGTCTTCCTGTGGGGCTTTTTAGGTAAAAAAGAAAATGGATGTCCCTTATCAGACAAAACCAATTTATTGCAGCAATACAGGAACAGACGAAAAATTCCTTTAAAAGTAATTTTATAAAGTAAAAGAAAAAGTACTGTATTGAAAATAAACAGATACAAAAACACAGGAACAGTGCACAAAATACACAAGATTTTATGTGTATTTTGTGGCTAAACTCTTTTTGTTATAGACAGTGATTTACCGAATAGTAAAAGAAAAAAAACAGAAGTTTGTGTTAGAATAAGATGTATTTAGAAAAAAACCAATAGATATGTCTTTAAGAATTGTGTTTGTCATTATGGCAAAAGTTTTTTTTTAAGGTGTAAATTCAGATGAAGTCAGTTTCTGACATCTTTTTTCGTGAGCATTTTGTGCTTAGCAAGTGAAGGTGTGGGCTGATGATCTTTGCATCAGGGGTTTCTATCATAATCTATGAGTGCTGGTGGTTAACACCTTTGGTACTTGCAGCATCAAACCAAACGTGTGAATGCTCGGAAAACACTTTTATTCCTTTCCACTGAAGCTGCAGGCTGATGACATTTGTTGCGTAGATAAAAATGAATGCCCAAATTGATCAACCTAATTGACACCGATCACAGTTGTTTAATTTCTACACTAATACAAGTAGATACTGTCGATTTCATGCTCCCTGTTTTCAGAAAATGGACAGTTTCTTTTGAAGCATTGATTCACTTCTGAGTTTCAGTTTTAGATCCCCTTTCACTTTGCCATGCCAAATACTTTGTCATCCTTCCTCATTATTTCACATTCCACGTTTTCCACTGAAGACATCATTGCTGCAATGAAAGAAACACGCTGGTGTTTAAAAAGTAAAGCGGAACTGGAAATCCTCCTTTCTTGTAGTCCTTGAAGTAATATATTATAAAGTTTAGAGAACATATGCCAGAAAGAATTAATCAACCTCTATAGCCAAGCAATGACTGCTATGATTCTTTGCTTGAATAAAGGGGCAGATTCAATCCCGTTAAAGTCATCATAAAGGTTGTGAAGTGTCGGGCTCATGCATGGTACTAACACAGCATCTACATGCCAGTGGAACTTTACGGTTGCTTTACTGCCAGTTTTGGAAAAAAAAACTAATCTTTTAATTATGTTAGTAGGGGGCCTTCTTTCATGTCTGTCAACAGCTTTGCAGATGGGTTGACATCTAGTTTCTGATAACTAATATGAGATGTAATGTATTACACACTCATTATTAGAATCATTAAACCTTTGCTGTGTTACAATTTTTTGTAATCCCCTTTTCTGTAAAAAAGGATTATTCCAGCTAAATTCCCCCGGCAACACGGCAGAGTCACACAGCAGGTTCACTTGGTTGGTTTCATTTTCTATCTTGACATCTTTGTGTATCTCAAAAACTTGAAAAGGGAAACAAGAAGTGATGGCTCACTCAGATTAATCAAATTGACCAATTAATGATTAAATAATCTGTCACATGGCTTTCAGAAATTCAAATGTTTTGGTTGTGCTCGCTGAGATTTTGAGATGTGTATCTCTTTTATGGGAGGATGTGGTGAATCCCAGAGATGGTAATCTCAAAGCCCCACGCACAAAATCGAGGCATTGATAAGATTTGAAAATCAACCATGAATTTAAATCACTGTGCCAAATTTAGGGGTTAACAATTCGAGATATGTTTATGTTTACAGTGCATCTTTTAAAGAATATTTAAAAACAAATTTTCAAATTATTATAAGAAATATTTGGAAATTAGAAGACTGTAACTCTTTGACATTAAAATAAAAAGGAATCACTTTGTGGAAGTCCACCAACTCTAACTTTAGAAACAGGGATTTCCCCTTTCCATTAAGGAGATGTGAAAGGGACTTTCATCTGTTGCTGCACACCACACAGACAAGAGGTGGTCAGTCAGTGTGAATTCTCAGAAATCCCTTACAGTTAAAGAAGAGCCTCTTCTTAGTCATAATAAGACATTCTCTGGATGACTTCTTGTTAATTTACAAAGCTGTTTTGCAATAGTAAAATAAGATGCCGCCAGTCTCACAGTGTACTCAGCAATCCCAAATACTTAATCGTTATCTTTTTTTTCAATTTAATGGCCTTTGCATATTAAAAGTTACAGAGTGCCCCAACATGCTGGATATCAGCGCAGTGAGACCTGTTACTTTAAATGAATAGCATATTTCAGTGTGGTTTCCCTTTAGCCCTTAATAGCTGATGGAATATGTTGTTTTCTCTGTTTATATATGGCCTATTAAATGTTGGTTGGATGTGGGTTTGGTTTTGCAGATGGGGATAACCACTATTGTGTATAACTTTGCCCTTTGTTTTTAACTGAAAGTTAATACCACATAGTGTGTGACCCCTTGTTGAAAAGAGCAGACAGGAACAAATGACATCAGCACTGTTCCTTCCTCTGCAGGCCTGGTTCAAATGCACTTTTAAAACATATCTTTTCTATGAAGGAAAAAGAGAGAGATGGAATTTGTTGTAAATGATAACCTAACAAAAATGGTACAGTGTAAAAAAAAAGAGTGAACACAAAGATATGCGTTTGTGTAACATAAAAATATAACAAACTATAGTTTGTTATATTTTTATGTGTTTCAAAAATATGTGGAGAGCTTTGAGGTAATTAATGTATTGCAGAGAGGAAGGTCAAAAGGGTAGCAAATGTTTTTAGATACCACAAAAATGCCCTTTGTGTGGCTGAAACCTTAAATAAAACAAAGAACCTACTTCCTCTATTTTTCTTTCATTTTTGCCCAAATGTTCCTATAAGGAGAGTAATATCAAGACATTTTATTTAAACATGATTCTCTGATTTCAAACTGAACAAGTTTTGTAATAAAGTAAAATCAGAATTGCATGAGATGGAATCGTTCGTAACCTTCAGATTAAATGCCATACAACTTTGAATGTCTGTCAGGTTGGTAAGAGCAGAATTTCCTTTAGGGGTGTGCGGTGGTAAGTGTGAAAGTTAACACAACTAAGCATGTCTCCACATCCTGAGTATTTATCTTCCTGTTCAATAGATGCACATGAAGATATTTTTTCATTTTACCAATTTGACATCTGTGTGTTCAAAAATGGATTTCAAGGTATGTTTAAGGAGATTAGTGTTTAACGTACAAATTCGTGGATCATTTAGCCTTAACCCTGAGCTCATTTAGGATGCCTTACTGGGGTGCTCTACAACATGTTCTGCTCATCAAAAAACACAAGCAGTTTCACAGTACAGAGCATATAATTCAATTCAATTTCACTTTTCTGTTCCTTACAGTTTCAGTCAGACAAAGACAAGACACGTCCAGAACCACAGACAAGTGAGAGACGTCAACACATCAACCATGTCAAAGGTGTACCCTCTGCAAAAAAGCTAATCAATAAAAGGGCTGCTATGGATTTTCATTTTGTTTGAGGCAAGAGAGGTAAGATGGCATCTCCAGAGTAACAAACTGTATGTAAATTGTTTTCATCTGCATTTAAATAGAAAATCTGCATTTTTTTTGTATTTCTACAAATATGTTCCCTCATTTTTATTATGTATATATATATATATATATATATATATGTATAACGACACACACAAACGCATAAGTATATATGATGAAACACTTCGCCTCCATTGATGAAAAAAGAGCTCTGTGAACCGGCTAATCCGACTCTGCCCACATTTCCACATGTGAGCAGATTACAAAGCCCGTTGGTTTTTCCACCACATTAATTCTAGTGCCGGTACAGAGCTAGAGGCTGGAGTCTGATTTTGAATGACTAATATAAGTTAGTCACTAATGCTCCAGCGGAAAAACATAAAACTAATAGCTGAGTTCCCACCAACTCTTTGCTGGCTTGATGCAAAGAGCCACTTACCTTGTGAGCTGCAGACAGTATCATAGGAACCAACGTTTTTTATTGTGCCATGATTGGGATTCATCCATCCATCCATCCATTATCGTTACCGCTTATTCCCTAATGGGGTGGCAGAGAGAACGGGAACCTATCCCAGTGGTCAATGGGCGAGAAGCAGGGTACACCCTGGACAGTCCTCTAGTCCATCACAGGGCCATGTTTGGGAATTCCTGTTTAAATATTCTATGTTATATGTAGTAACAAGCAAAATGGGATTCCATCAGCAATGTTAACACATGAACTCCGGGATTTGATCATTTTTAGTTTTATTATAGTGTAACTGCCACCAGACTCTGGAGTACATTTTCCAATTGCATTTGTGAAGGTATTACTTTTCTGTTATATTCCCACAGGGCACACCTCTATTGTTTTATATGTTTGTGTTTATAGAGACTGCTGTAGCAGCCATGGATTTGAGTTGCTGCTCAGAGAAGCGAATAATTTATCAGACAACAAACACATCAGTTGTAAAAGCAATAGAGAGTCAGACTGACTTCCCTTTCTGACAAAAGCATTCAGACAGTGTGAACTTTCTTCCCTGAGACTCAGAGTGCTATGTAGACTAAAAAAGAGGAATTATATGCCACAGCACCGAAATTGATTATCCCACCGATGTATTGATTAGGTTTAATACAGGAAATTTATTCAAATGCATCATAAAACGTAATTACAAGTAGATAGCTAAATTATTTTTTTTATTGTTTGTCTTGTAATCCAGGTTGATTGACCCTTCTGTAAGTAAGAATCTGCTGGTTCAGATTTTTAAGTCCTTTATCAAAAGTAAAAAGTTCTTAAGTCCTTTATCAAAAGTAAAACCACTCCCACATAACAGTTAGCTCCACTTAAAAAAAATGGCCTGGTCAGCTTGTGGTTTAATGTTATGAGTGATGGGTTGGGTACACAAAGCCTGCCCTCTAGTGGTTTAAGTGTAAAAGTTCAAACATTCAAAATCATGATACACATTAAAGAGGAATGGTTTTATTATCGAATTCTAAATCTTCTTTAATTTCTTTGCAGGTTTGAGATGTATGAATGTGACTCACCTGTTATATCACATTTAACTGCTGTTATATGTGGGTTTTGCAGTACAAAAACAAGCAGACAGAATCTTGCATGTGTGGGCTCGGTGGTGTCATCCTGTGTTTACCAGCGCAGGATCCCACGGCAGTTACCATAGAAACTCCACTGCCTGGCACAAGAAGAGCTGTGATCGGAGGGGTTTCCACAGGCAAGAAAAAACACACTGTAGCTAAGAGAAAAACCCCCGATGATGTCAAAGGAGTATCAAAAGATTGGTTTATTCATTACGTATAATTCACCAAACAGTGCAAGATATGAAACAGATGTTACAGATTTTCTCATTTTCATTTTATTGCCGTCAAACATCAAGTACAGGTATGGTGTTATATTGGATAGGAACTGATAAAACATGACAGACGGACAATCATTACTCTATTTACTGCCCTTACATGTTTCCAAACGTCTTCCATGTGGAAACAGTGTTCTGAAAGTCAACATTTCATGTTCTTGTCCAACAAGATTGTAACATGATTTGAGGGAGCATCATAATGACTGTCTGTGGGCTTCCTAAACCTCGGCAATGGCAGGCAACGTACAAGCTCGCACACGTGCCACTCTCCAGACCGACCTGCAGTCAGAGATCCACTGAGATATGAGCGATTGTTTCTGTCCCTCTGTCCCTCTGTCCCCGGGGCAGGCTCTCCTCGCTGCTGACCTCATCAGGCTTTGTTTTGGGGAGATATTTGGAACCGAGGTTGTGATGGTGGTGCACATGTCAGAAGAGCTGCTGTTGCACAGGTGTGGACGATCTGGACTTAAAGCCCGTGTGACGCTGCTGGGTCTGATGTGTGCCCGGCTTTCCCACACACTCTCCCGGTGTCTCACAAACGTTCCTTCAGCGAATGTCTTCCCGACACTCCCTGAAAGGCCTGAGAGGTTGTTCTGGTGTCCATAGAGATACTCCAGAGGGTCAGAGTTGCCGTGCGACATCTCTCCGTCCAGCTTTTTCTCTGAAAATAAAGGTCCACTGAGACGTGACGGCCTCAACCTCTGCTGCGCGGCGTCCTGTTGCAGCGTGCGGAAGTTGTCCGAGCACACATTTGTGCTCGCGGAGGTAGGGCATGCCAGGTGGCAGATGGAGAGGAGGTAGTCCTCTGAGGAGACGGCCTGGCCACGATCACAGTTGTGAAGCGTGTTGGCTTCATTGAAATCCTTCACCATCTCCTCTGCGCCCTCTCTGATTGTGGGCAGCACGAGTCTTCTCTTGGAAAACAGTCTGGACCGCGGCCGCATAGCTAAGGGACAGGACAGGAAGAATGGGAGTTAAAAACAAGCTTCATACTCTTCAAAAGCCTCAGGAATACTGCTCACCAATTTAGATTTTCTCCTGTGTTCTTCAAATTTGACAGATCTTTTAATAGCTAGTGCTGTGATAGATTGTTACTATAAGCTGGATGTTGTTTAGGAAGCTGTTATATCCCATTTATGCACTACACACCCCCAAAAATTGGTAGCTTTCTTAAAAAGCATACAAGAGCGAACACAAACAACGTTTTGTAGCCACTTTATCAGACTAATGCATTTTCCAGCGAGATATTCAACCGTTCACAAAGAAGATACAAAAAACAGTTGGTAGGCTGTAATTCAAAACTCATCTATCCACCTATTGCCGTAATTCAGTTGAATATATAAGCCTTCTTTTGTTTCTCAAGACTCATCTTCCTCACTTCAGGCACCATTCATTCGTATTTTGGGCTGTACACACTGCAACTCCAAACATTCCCAACCAGGAGCTGGAGGATGATGTATGAATAGATTTTTATTTTTAGATACTATCTCTGTCTTGTAAAACCACAGAAAGTGTCACTTGGTATTTTCTTATGTAACCCTATATAGTTGTGAATATTGTGAATCCGGCAATATATTTTTGTCCCAACCTCCCTGCCAAAAATAGAGCATGCCAAACCAAAATGCCACCCCCTTCAGCTTTCTTCTGAGGTGTACCCGTTGCTAAATTTAGATCACATCTTTGGTGTGCAGCTTCTAAAAATGGCTCGATTGCAGCAGCTCAAAACTGAGGCACAGAATAGTGTTCCAGTGTTTTCACCTCATGCATTTAGAGTAATCATGCAATATCGAACACATGCACCTACCTGCTCACCGAAGGTCTTAGATGGGTTCCTTTTTCTCTCTCTTTCTGCTTCAAATATCAGAAATAACTGCGGTTTATTATTTGTGGTCCTGTGTTTCAGTCCAGTGCTGCTGCTCTGTAGCTTCAGCCGACTATGACCGGAGGCAGAGGTAGAACGGAGATTTATCTCCTCCTCACATCCCTCCTCCTCCCCATCATCCTCCTCCTCCTCCTCCTCCTCCTCCTCCACAACCCACACTCCCTCTCTCTCTTACTCTCTCTGTCTCTCTCTCTCTCTTAGTTTTGGTTTGCCCTCCTTGCCTGGTTCTAAAAATAGACCTGTCATCCATTTCCTCAACACCAGCGCTGTCTCCAGTTCACTGTACTGATGGAGGGAGAAAAAAAGAGGCAAGGAATGGTAGCAATGGAGAGATAGTGAGAAAAAGCGGTGATAAGCAGAAAATTAAATAAGAAAAAAATTGGAAGATTTATGGAAGAAAAAGTCTTTTTTTATCTTTTTTTCCAAACTTGCCTTACAGTTGATGAATAATATATGCATATGTACAAATTAAACACACAGACTGCAGAGCTTTAAACACATTTGGTCTTTTTGTTTTGTTTAGACTAAATGCAACATCCAGATTAGCTGGTATACATGTGAAAGGGTTTCACGTGTTCACACTGTCTGGCGACGTGTGCACAGCACAAACACTGCTCACGTGAGTCACCAGACCTTCTCCGAAGACACATTTCTCAGTAATTCAAAATCCATAACAGGCTTTACATTCATTTGATCTTTTACAGGATGGTCAGGATGTACACGTTTTCCATTGATTCTTGAGACTCTACTTAGCCTGTGAACACAGTTTTAGACCTGCAAATAAACATCAGCACTGTGCCCTGAGTGACACAATTTCTCGGTAAAACCGTACTTGAAAAGCACTACACATAATATGCCATGAAATTGGATAAATCTTTTTCTGAATTTCGGGCAGATATGAAGAGAGTTGCATAACTTAAAAGATTATATATAGCCTTTGTGACTTGCTTGAGGGTAAAGGCTTGATCATGAAAATAGAACAAGCAGGTGACGCAATAAAGGCAATGCTTTTTATTCCCTCTCACATTACTTTCACTCATTATGCATTTAGATATATTTTGATCTGAAGTATGCCTCTAAAATCCAGGATTATCTTTTTGTGCACACGTGCCTTTTTTCTCTAGAGGAACAGATCACAGGCCTGCGACAGCTGCAACTACTCAGTCATGGGCTTGTGAACAGGAGCTGATATGATCAAATATGATGTCCGACCCCAGGCAGAAAACCAAAATTCCTCATTTGTAGATTTAACAAATAGCTTTCTTGATGCTTATGAAGTTAAAGGTAATCACATCTCAAGTTCATCTCAGTCTCACATGTCCTCAGAATGTGTCTTTTAAGTTTGAGCTCAGAACACTTAATAACCCTGGTCCCTCCAAACAGGCTGTGTCTGCATTTAAATTGAATGAGGAACTGATACCAATGTTGGTCTTTGATGAAAATTGTTTGAACACTTCAGTATCAGCCAGAAAAATAAATCAAATGTCAACTTTTTCACTAATCAAACCAGCGTTTGAGTCATTTGTATAGTTGTCTGGGAAATTAACATAATTTAACACTAAAACTGATCTGTGACCTCTACAGTTGTTTTTTTTTCTAGCTTCATGTCCTTATAGTATGAATATGATGATGACTGCTGAGTTCATTTAGTTTTGAGGAAAAAGAAGGTGCTACCCAGTTTTAATTTGTACCTCGTACCTGAAATTATCTTTGCAAGCAAAACACTGGATAATGCTCACATTTTCTAGTAATTAAACCATCAATTAAAATTTAAATCAAAGATTGAAATAATTTTTGTAATAATCAACTGTAAATACTCAATCACAGTCTTTAAATTGTAAATAGAAAATAAAAAATCAGAAAAACCTGATTTCTTTGTGAATTACACAAAGACGATTCCACAGCAGGTCACTGTTTTCTCTGAGCAATGGAAACAGAATGCTTTCCGAAGGCAGATTTAAGTATATTAAATGGTAAGCATTTGTTGGTACCTAATGAATTTATATACGACATGAGCCAACAACCGATAGGGTTGAATAAGGTAATGTGCCGGAAGACAGGTGAAAAGTTGCAAATATTACTGATCGAGCAATGAACTCAGCAGTTGCTCAGGGGATAATTCATAGAATCATACCTGAGTATTGCTGTTTGTCTGCATTTAGGCAGTTGTGTTCTGCCCTTTAAACAGTTTTTTGTTAGTCCAAAGCCCACCCATGATAACTTGTCAACAAGGACAATAACAAATAGAAACAGAGTAACTTCTGCCTCTAGAAATGTTTCCTCCAAGATTCTGAATATTTACATGGTACTTTTGTGTATCCTATTATACACAGGGCATGCACAATTATTTAAAAAAGCTATTAGAAAGTGGATTTACCTAAATAACCTCTTTCAGAGCTTATTTGAAACAATCTTCAAAATACATATTAGGCAAAGAACAAGAAGAACATAAACACAAAATACATCAATCAACAATCTACTCCAGTGCCACAAAAACTCAGGGCAGAATCACTCTAACTGAAGCAGATTTGGGTGTCTTCTTTTAAACCTTTGGTGTACATAATGCATTTCCCTGTGACTTCCTCAAAGCATCATGCATAACCTCTAAACACTAACCCTTAGGTTAAATGTAATTGTAACTAATTGACACTCCAACCATAAAACCAGGTTCTGTACTTCCAAGGCCCCTTTTAAACAGACTGTTCCTTTAATTTATTCCCCACAAAGAAAGTGGTCTCTCTGTTTTCTTACCATATTCACACATGACCATAGTCATGGGCAGACACTATCACATGGTTTGTTTCAGATACACGACACACTCTCGGGCACCACACTGACCTCGTCCATCACTGTGTAATCCAAACAAACCAGGAAGGACTTTGTTCTACCTGAGATCACAGGTGCTATATTTTACGAGAGAAACAACCAATACAGTGTGGTTGCAGGCAGTAATTCAGCTGATATTTCTAAATGTGTTTGAGAAAAAGCTGTCTTATCAGTAGGTTTTATACGTCCCAGATGACTTTTGATGTACAATATAAAGTTAGCTTCTGTCATCGGTTAACTATTGCTTTTATAATTTTTGGCAGCTGAAGTTCAATTGGGTTAGGTAAGATTGTTATTTTAAATATAAAGAAAGTCTTACGATATATATTACTCCAGAAGAGAAGTCGTTCTTTTATCTTTTGATTGGTATGGTTGTTGTGTGGTTCTCTGGATTTCACGATCGGAACACTGGGACCCAAATGCACGACTCCAGGAAAATAATATCCAAAATCAGAGTTGTTTATTTGGAAAATGGTTGGTAGACGGGCAGGCAAAAAGGCTCAGGCAGAAGTACAAGAACAGCAGGCAAAAACGGTGGTGAAAATAGGCAGGCAAAGATCAGGATCACTAGGCAAGACAATACTTGAACGATTGAGAAAACTTAAAAGTACGAACACGCAATGAACAAGAGACGGTCCGGAGTATATATGCAATACAGGGGAGAAAACAATGAGACACAGGTGGAGGTGATTAGGAGTCAGGAAATCAGAACAAAAGGGGGGAAGTGGAACAACAACAATGGGACCAGACAGAAGGACTACAAAACAAAACAGGAAACAACACAGACATGTCAACCCATGACACTGGAAAAGCTTTGCCGACATATGTGTAACATCACTTTTTAACTGCATGCTTTAGCACACTTGTTGATCTCTTACCATCAATAATGTAGGGACCAATGCACAAAGTTTCTGTTTGGGTTATGGTCCCCCCGGCCCTCATCCGAACCCTTTGAGTTGCTTTTGCAAAACTATTTAAACATTTTCTCTGTTTTATGGTTTGAAACTTTGCATGCCGGTTTGACAGCCTGCATTGGCTGCACAACATGATCCTTTTGCAAGACAAAAGAAAACACAGTACCTGAACCATGTTTCCCATGCTAAGCAGTTGCTTACAGCACCCTCTAGAACAACTCTTCTCACAGTCTGTAGCTCTTATCCACTTATGGGCTCAATAAAAATTAGATTTCAACAGAGGGGAGCTTGCTGTATGTTTATGGCCATTAAAAGCCTCCATGTGGACTGTGGGAGGAGAGAACTCAACATTTAAAACCGAAGAATGGATAAGTGGAAGGGCTCTAATTGTTGAACTCAGATATTGATTCTTATCTCTCAGCTCCAAGCTGCCAAAGAGATTCTGGGAAGTGTTCATGGTTATTCTTTGAAGGGCAGGGTAGGGAGTTTCTATGAAAGGATGCTTGTTTCCAAGAACAACTTGTTTTGAAATGTTTGGGCTAAATGAGATTACATGGTTTTAGAACAAACAACAAAAACATTTGTGATCCAGAGGCCAGATTATTTTGTTATCAATGTCATGTTAGGTTTTATTTTGCATAAAACCTAAAACCATTTGAACTCTAGAAAAGATTTATGTAAATATCTGGTTAAAAAGCTTTTAGGAAGAATGGTCAGAAATTACTCTGCAACAATGTGTAAGATTTATAAGACCAATTTAGAAGATTTTTTAAATCTATGTTCCACATTTGACAGGAATTCTGTGATTGGGAATATACTTGATGAATACATAAAAATAGTTTTATGTTTATTATCAGGGTTGGCCGGACAATTTCATTTCATTGAAATAAATGTGTAAAATAGCTATGAGAAAGAATGACCAATCTGCAAAATCTGAAGAAAATAACAAATAACTAAATCATAAGGAGAGGACAACATGGATTCCCAGAATGACAACAACAATTTACGTGCAGGGGGTGGCCACAGTACAGGAATATTTGTCCTGAGAGGGGTGATTGGATGAATGGGTGCAGGTGAGTAATGGTAATAGGGAACAGGTGGTACTGCACAGGACATTGAGGAGAACTATGGGCAGTGGCAGAACTAGATGAAACTAGAAAATTGAATATATTAATTGGTAAGGACCAAAACTAGCTAAAACTCCAAATACAAAAACTAATATATCCTGTCTATAATAATTACATTTACAAGTTTTAGTGAAACCTAACAGAAGGATGCCAAGAGGCATGAATATTTTTACAAGAACCTGTCACAAACAGAATATACACACATAAGCAGTACATTGTGTCTGAGGGCTGACCGTTCCATAAGTAAGCTGAACACGCTTTTTTTTACAGCTGAAAAAACGCAGGTGTCTATGACTGCATAGTAGGCCCACTACACAAATTCAAGTATGACCTGGAGTACGATGGGGGGTCTGCAAAATGGCTGACATTGCAAAATGGTTCTTGTTATGTGGAATGTCACTTTGCTGGCAACAAACGAGTCTGAGCTGATGTGTGAGATGGAGTAGTAACATTTCAATTTGAGGGGTTCTCCTCCTCACACAGTGTGAGCTCTGCAGTCACCTCCTGGAGAGGGCCTGGAAACCCATACTTTGGAGGAGTCAGTTGAGAAGTTTCAGGCATCTGGTTAGGATCTCCCCTTTTTTGGCAGATCCATCTAGGCTAATGGACTCTTAGGCAGGCCCAGAACTTGCTTGGGGATTATATAACATGGTTATATTCATATGTCAACAGGTCTGGGATTACTTTGGGTCTCCCTTGCAGCAGCAGGAGTGCATTCCTTGGAAAGGGGTTGTCTGGATTTCTCTCCTAAACTTCCTTCTACAACCTGATGTCAGATAAACTGAAAATAATGGATGGATGGATAAAGGTAAGAATTTAAAAGACGAAAAAAATTGTAAATATCCATCATAAACTGCCTTCTAATAAAGGACAATAGTAATTGGACATGGACTGAATGCTGAAATTTCTATAAATTTTTTATAAAGATACTTATTTGCAAATGCAAAAAAACACTTTTGCACATGCAGAACTCAAGGACTGTGCTGTGTCCCCCCCTAGGGGCTCAATAAAGAAATACTCTGCAGCTGGAAGTTAAATAACATTGCAGACTTGTTCTTGATGTCTATTTCTTTGTCATTCACAGCTGACAAAGTTTCAGTGTGTCATGTGTACATTGTTACAGGCCAAAAAGAAGGTGAGTGATAATGCTATTTTCAAAAGAAATCATACAACACTCATAAATTGCAAAATACCACAGGCACTTAAGCTTTAATAAATATCAAACATTGACTTTTCTTAATATGTACATATATTGTACAGAAATATAGGTGGCTTTGCAGTTGTTGCAAGGTGAAGGTGTACAAACAATAAAACATTAATAAAGGAAAATAAACTGGCCCTCAAAGCTTTAGTTTGGGTAGAATATGAAGTTTTTTAAAATCGTCTTTTCCCCGGTCACGGCATTAATCATTGCATGAGGGACATTGCTTGGATACACATAGCAAGGCTTACAAAAGAGCACCATTTTTTTTACTTATTGCTGAAAATATTCAGAGATTTGTATTTTTTTGTAATTCCCTCTTTACTAAGCACCAAGTATGAGGCAATGTCCCTCATGAAACTTTCACACTTTAATTCCTGAGAAATTTAAAAACTTTTGGAGAGTATTTGTTTTGGGGATGGTAATATCCAACCAGTGTAAAGCTTGCAATGCAATTAAATATTTTGGGAACTCTGAATTTGTAACTGTCTGGTATAATCGTGCTGCTTCCAGGTGTCCAAAAGCTCCAATATGCATAAGGAGTCAACCTCATCTCCCGAAATACAAGTCGTTATGGGAATACTGGGAGGTAAACTTGAGAGGGGTGAGCTGCAGTCCTTGGCTATAATATATTCTGGAGTATCGGATTCAAGGTGGTAAATTACTTGGCTCTTTAAGCGCCAAAGGAAATCATTTAATTTTAATAATTGGTTTATTACATCTGCTTTACAACAGTGAATCCACTTAGAGGGATAAAGTAGCTGTGTACAATGGCTGCTCAAATAGGAGGTCTTCACGTTGTGTGCTTCAACATGATTTGCACCAATTCCACATGAATTGGTACATTACATTTGGCAATGAAATTCTTTACTGCAAATGTCCTGATTAGGATATGAGAAAGAGGTCCTTTTTGTAATCTTCTTTTCTTCTTGATAAAAAAAACAAACATTTTTTCATTTAAGTGGTGTTAGAGGAGAAACATGCTCATCTCTGAGAAAAGAGAAGGCTTGTTCTATTGTGAAGTGTGACCTCTCTTCATCCTGAGGAGAAAGTTTCGCTTCTCCTCGAGAAGCTCTTGTATGCGTTTGTTCCTGGTTTTTTCTCTGAGGTTGACCCGCCGCTTTTGGATAAGGTTGTTCTGGGAGACGTCACTGTCCACGCTGACGACCCTGTTGTAAAGCATATCAATGGAATTGTTCTCACTGTACTCTGAAGCTCTTTGCTGAGGCCTTAGGGTAGAAATGGCGGCTATGGTGGCTGGTTCTTCCTTTGTGGGCGGGATTGTCGGAGGGGGTGAGGAGACAGCAGAGTCTGAAGTCACTGTGGGAATGGGCAAGCTCACAGGGATGTACTCAGAGAGGTCCTGCCAAGGTGATGGGACGAGTTCTGTCATGTCCTCACTGTTTATGGTAGGGATCACCATGGAGAGGCCATCTTCCAGCACAACTGTATCACTGACCACTCCTGAACTGACGTAGGATTCGTCATCACTTGGAAAGGTCCCGCTTGTCTCCACACTATCCCCGCTGCTTGTCATTGTGGTGTCACTATACGCCATTGTTTCGGTGGGCATCGTGACAGCCTCATCATTAATGCCTCCAGTGGGATTTATGAAATTGACAGAGGGGGTGGGTGTTGTACTTTCTGTGTCGCTGCTGTCTTGGTACCACAGGGGAGTTATATCTGTGATACCGTCATCATTACTGATGTGTGTGACATTGATCCTTGACTCAGGGATGGGCAGGCTCACCATCGTCCCACGTTCACTGCTGCTGGAAAGTACACCCTCTCTTGATGTTTCACTGCTTCCGTAGGGGGTGATAGTTGTATCATAAAAAGAGAGTGTTCTCTGGTTTGAAGGAGTCTTTTTCTCCTTGGCTTTCTGATTCAGCTTGGCTGGTGGAGTTTTTTTAGATGATGGTTCCTGGAAGTTTTTCTTTTGGAGATGTGTCTTTGTTTGGTATGTTTTTGTGACTTTTGTCTTTGGCATTATATTCTTTTTGGGATTGGGAGAAGGCTTGTTTTTCTTCTCTGTAGTGACCTTCACAGTAGTAGCTTTTTTAGGAGTAGTGTGCAATGGAGTGGTCTTTTTTGGAGTAGTCTTTGGTGAAGTACTTTTTAATTGAGGGGTCTTTTTCGCAGTGGTCTTTGCTGGAGGGGTCTTTTTCACAGTGGTCTTTGCTGGAGGGGTCTTTTTTGTTGTGGTCTTTGATGGGGAAATCTTTTTCGGTGTGGTCTTTGATGGTGGAGTCTTTTTTGGTGTGGTCTTTGATGGGGTAGTCTTTTTTGGAGTAGTAGGTTTTGGAGTATTTGTGCTCTTTTTAAAATTGGTCTTTGGTGGAATTAACTTTCCTTTGTGTTTTGGCTGGATTTTCTTTTCTGGTTTAGATTGTAACAGGATGTCAGTTTTAGACGTGCTTTCTGATGGACTTGTCATGATTGGACTGTTTGTTACAGTTAAATCCATGCCAGTCGTTTCAGCTGTTACAGTATTTTCTAACAGTGGATCTGAGTTCTCATACACAGGAAAGCTTGTAGCCACTGTGGTGATGTCCTTGGGAATGGTGGTATGGGGGACAGGAGCTGTTGATGGATAAATGGGCAATATTTCTGGAATACTCTGTGAATCTGAGGTGGACTCAATGGTTTGAATGGTAGAAGGTTGAGTGGTGAACCAGGAATACATAGTGGAAGCTGAAATGGTGGTGATGACATCTTCGGTAGGTCGAGGGGTGGCAATGCCAGACATCGGGATGTCAGAGGATGGAGGAGCTGTAACTCTGGGCCACACGGAGGTGATGCGAGTGGGTGTGATAGTGGAGCCGGAAACAGGTTCTGTACTGTTTATGTTGCTACAGGTCTTGCAGCAGATACGCTGGTAGTCCGGCAGAGAGCAGTAGCGCTTCAGTGCCTCCATGCGGCAGAACACAGAACGGTCTCCATGACAACGGAAGCCTGTGAAAGAGAGAACAGAGAGCTGAGAATTGGCGCAGACAGAAGAGGAGACTATCACACTATGTGTGACTGTTGATCTGTGTGAGTTAAATTATGTGCATGGTGAAATTTTACTGTTAGATTAATGCTGGTCATTGTAGGCATGTTAGTATAGACATAAAGTACATGCTCTTCTGTGCTTTTGAGTGTGTACGAATGTCTGTGGATGTGTTGTTCCACACTATGCAAAGTACAGTAGTAAAGCCAGACCATCAGCAGAGGATGCAGGAAGGATGAGGAGCAAAACCCAAGAAGAGGCATCATTAGATTAGTCCAGAGCAACTGAAATGGAAAAGAAGGATTGCCAGTCTTGTGCTGTCAGTATAATTGAATATTTTGAGTTGGAACTATTGATCAAAATCATTCATTTCAACATCTAAGATCTGCAGCATTTTCATTTGAATGTCAAAACCCCACCACTTGGCATGCAGCCTTTTTGTACCATGGCAGTAAAAATAACTACAATCTCACTGCTGTGCCTGACATTTTGACATGTTCTCTAACAAGACAGCTATCCAGTGAACATCCCTGGTGAGAGAAAGATGACACTTTTTAAAACATTTTTATTGATACAACTTTGCTGTTGAGAATGACAAGAACTGAAACAATGAAATGTATGCCTTCCCTCCTCCTGCCCAATATATAGATATATATTTTTTTCTTAAGAAAAATAATTCAACTGTATCGAAAGTTACAAGTTCACAGTCACTTTGGTAAAACACTTTGAAATCAACCAGTCAATCTGTTTGATTGGAAAAAAATGAAGTACATAAATAATACTTGCTTTTAAAATAAAATACAGAAATTCCATGATGATGTAAAAACTGTAATGGCACATTAAGTGTCATATGAAACATTTACAAAACATTAATAAAATTTCCCTGATAAATCAAAGTGCATATAGACGCAGTGCACGTAGTCCATCTGAATGTTTCTTCAACGTTAGCCAAACGTTAGCCAGCCCCACGCAGCAGGCCAGTGAAGCCACAAAACAGTTACCCATAGTATAGAATATTATAGAAGAAGATAACAGTCATGAACATTATTAAATACAGTCAACACCAATGTTATATACAGTATCGCACTGCTAGGTCTGGCTTGGTCTCACACAGTCCAATTCCAGCAGAAGGAAACCTTGGATAACTCGCTACATAGTCACAACAGAAATATGTGATCACAATACAATGACAAATCTGAAGTGTTTTTTTTTTCTCTTTTTCTTTTTTTTTCTTCTCTAGATGCCATATGTGTCAGTTCCCTAGGCCCTTTGAAAACCATTCCCAGTAGTCAGACACTGGTCCAACATCACCTTGGTAGGTTTGATGGTTGGCGGGTGTGAGTTTGTTAAGTTGGTTTGAAGCTGCCTCTATTCCGAGTGAAACTTTGAATGAGTAAAGCCATCTCTTTCACAGATAAATGCCATTACATTCAATCCAAGATAAGGCATTGTTCATGTGGTTAATGTTCATCAAAATAAAGTGAAATTATTGGACGCTCTCAAATAAAAGTTTATGAGGTATTTCTGTATCTGATCGCAGTGTGTAAAAGCCTGAATGATGATGCACCCTTCAAACAGACATATGTGCTCACGGGCAAACTGCAACATCACTTTCTACTGATAACACTGCTGACCCTCTTACTTTCTCATGTAAGCACATAAACACATGAAGCCCATCCTTCCACACAAATATGTACACAGACACACAAACTGTTGCATACACACACATATCTATCTATCTATCTATCTATCTATCTATCTATCTATCTATCTAT